GGTAGTCAGTGTTTCTACTTTCTAGTCGTGATTTCTCGCCTGGTAGAACGATCACGGATTGTTCTTTGGCTAGATTGACACTGAAGTCTATATCATCATTGATGTTTTCTAGAAAAGAGACGTCAAACTTCACCTACAATTGATAAAATAATCAAACTTGTTTAACATTAAGCACAATTTTAATTAACTAATTTAAAATTTAGAAAATGTAAAATGGCATTAATTGCTTTATTGTCAAGATATTAGCTTAGGAGTAGTCCGGCTTAAAATGTAATATTAGAAAGCAGTGAGGACTACAGTAATTGTCAGGGTTAAAGTGTCAGAAATCAAAATGTGTAAGAAACGCACGTTTTGTATCAACGGCCTCATAAAAGAGCCACGCATGTTATTCGAGTTAGTTAATGAAAATCAAAATGTTTGGGTGGAGGTATGTACTTCATAAATTTCACTGATGATTTCCCAAGAAAATTGTGGATGTATATCTTGAAGACCAAATATGAAGCACTGTTGAGGTTTCGGGAATATTGAAAGGCAATGGTGGAAACTCAGAGCAACAAGAAAGTTAGAAAGAAAATTGTAATAATCAATGAAACTCAAATACTATTACAAAAATAATGCATATATAGGAGAAAAAAGCTTGAATTCTTAACTGTACTAATGCTCCCGGAAAGTTGGTCTATAAGTTGAAACTGTAACAAAAATGACCTACGGTAATATTGAATAGTATCACTTTTCCTTCAAGTGTTATTGTAAACTATCTATGGTAATACTTGATGTTAAAATATTATGATAACATTTTTCTTTAATTTTTTATAACATATTTTATATTAATGGTAACTTTTTTTTTTAAATGTTATTAATATATATTTACCACATTTTTAAAGTGTTACAATAGATCTAATAATACACTAATTTTTTTTATAATATTACCATATAATTAAAATACAATAATATTTTAAAAGTATTATTATAAACCTAATTATTGAGCAGGAAAGGAAATATTATTCCCATTAACATGGCATTTTTAATGTTTAGGGGTAGAATACACATCATTTGGGGTTAATATTATCACTTTTTATGTAGGGACCAAACTAAATATATTACAAGTAGTATAAAAAGAAAGATGGATGGTTGCGCAAAAGCGAAACCCATTCACCCAAAGTCCGTCCATTTGCCGGCGACCCTTCGTTTGGTTCATATATTGGAAAAACTATTATGGCTTCATTTGGTTGCATTTTGGGAATACTACTTTTAGTATTCCCAAAAAAGTTAAACAGTAAAGTAGTATTCCCAAAAAAGTTAAACAATAAAATACCAAAAAACTCACAATATTATTCAATATTATTCAACTTTTTTTTAAACTTCCTAAATTTGTTAATTTAATTAAATACTCCTAAATATTTTTTAAAAAATTATAAAAATACCCCAACAATCCACATTTACCAGATTCTGGCCACCATTGCCGGAAAATGGCCGGAATCTGGTAAGATGGTGCACTACCGGTTGAATCTGGCCGATAGTGCGCCGATCTAGCCTTTTCTGGCCAGATCCACAGTAGATTTGGGAGGAAAAGGTCAGATCTAAGGCCAAAGATCTGGCCGTTGACAGCCAGATCTTTGGCCGTAACCAGTCGGTAACGACGGCCAACAAACGGTCGTCTTTGACCATCAATGACGATTGTTTGTTGGTCGTCGTTGAATAGCAAATACGGTTAGATCTGGCCGTCAATGGCCAGATCTAGCCGTAGATTTGGCCTTTGCCGGCCAGATCCACCATGGATCTGACTGGAAAAAGCTATATCGGCGCACGACAGGCAAGATCCAGCCGGTCATGCACCGATACGGTGACTCCGACCACCCTTCGGCGGTGGTGGCTGGCTGTCCGTATTTGAGGGTGGGTTGAGGGTGTTTTTGTTAACTTTTAATATTTATTATAGGGGGTATTTTGTAAAAAAACAAACATAGGGGGTATTTTAAATTTACAAATCCCACATCGTAATACCCGCCCAATTCAACTTTTTTTTAACTTTTTTCAAAAAACTTTTCCCGAAAAACAAAATTGTGAACCAAACGGAGCCTATAGTTTTCCCAAAAGTTTTCCAAAAAAAGTTGGCTTCGTTTGGTTGCCAATTGGGAATATTACTTTTAGTATTCCCAAGAAAGTTAAACAGTAAAATACCTAAAAACTCTGATTTTTGGAAATACTACTCTTAATATTATTCAACTTTTTTTAAACCCCTTAAATTTGATAATTTAATTAAATACCCCTAAATATTTTTCTAAAAATTGCAAAAACACCCCAATAATCCACATTTACCAGATTCCGGCCACCACTGCTGGGAAATGGCCGGAAACTGTTAGGATGGCGCACTACCGGCTGAATCTGGCTGGTAGTACGCCGATCTAGCCTTTTCCGATCAGATCCACAGTGGATCTAGCCGGAAAAGGCCAGATCTTTGACTGTAACAGTCGGTAACGACCGCCAACAAACGGTCGTCGTTGACCATTAACGACGACCATTTGTTGGCCGTCGTTGACGAGCAAATACGGCCAGATCCACCGTGGATCTGGCCGAAAAAGTCCATATCGGCGCACAGCCAGAGGGTGGCCGGATTCGTCGTATCGGCGCACGACCAGCAAGATCCAGCCGGTCATGCGCCGATACGACGAATCCGACCACCCTCCGGCTGTGGTGGCCGGCTTTCCGTATTTGAGATTGGGGTGGGGGTATTTTCGTTAACTTTTAATGTTTTATTATATGGGGTATTTTGTAAATAAACAAACATAGGGGGTATTTTAAATTTATAAATCCTACATCGTAATACCCGCCCAATTCAACTTTTTTTAAACTTTTTTCAAAAAACTTTTTCCAAAAACATCCAATTGTGAACCAAACGAAGCCGTTAACTTTGGTTCACCTATTTCCAAAATATAATTCTAAATTATTCAATTTCCTTTAAACCCCCTAAATTTGTTAATTTAACTAAACAACCCCTAAATGTTTTTTAAAAATTGACAAAAACACCTCAGCAACCCAAATTTACCAGATTCCGGCCACCATCGCCGGAAACTGGCTGGAATTTGGTGTAATGGCGCACTACCGGCTGAATTTGGCCAGTAGTGCGACGATCTAGCATTTTCTGGCCAAATCCACGTTGGATCTGGCCATCAACGGCCAGATCTTTGGCCGTAGACAGTCGTCAACGATGGCCAAGATATGGTCGTCGTTGACCATCAACGACGACCATATCTTTCGTCGTCGTCGACGACCAAATGCGGTTAGATCTGACTGGAAAAGGCCATATCGGCTTACGACCAGAAAGATTGAGCTAGTCATACTTCGATATGGCAACTCCGACCACCCTCCGGGGGTGGTGGCCAGCTGTCCGTATTTATGAGTGGATTAAGAGTGTTTTTGTTAATTTTGAATATTTTATTATAGGGGTGTTAAGTAAATAAATAAACATAAGGGTATTTATGTTAATTTTTAAAATTCTATATCGTAATACTCACTAAATTTAACTTTTTTCAAAAGATTATTCTAAAAACTACCCAATAATGAACCAAACGGAGCCGGCATTTTTAATGTTTAGGGGTCGAATACACATCATTTGGGGTTAATATTATCGGCTTCGTTTGGTTCACAATTGGGTGTTTTTGGGAAAAGTTTTCTGAAAAAAGTTAAAAAAAAGGCTGCGTTTGTTTCAGTTTTGGGAATACTACTTTTAGTATTCCCAAAAAAGTTAAACAGTAAAATACCCAAAAACTCAGATTTTTGGGAATACTACTCCCAATATTATTCAACTTTTTTTAAACCCCTTAAATTTGATAATTTAATTAAATACCCCTAAATATTTTTTTTTTAAATTACAAAACACCCCAATAATCCACATTTACCAGATTCCGGCCACCACCATCGGAAAATGGCCGGAATCTGGTAGGATGGCGCACTACCGGCTGAATCTGGCCGGTAGTGCGCCGATCTAGCCTTTTCCGACCAGATCCACAGTGGATCTGGCCGGAAAAGGCCAGATCTAAGGCCAAAGATCTGGCCGTTGACGGCCAGATCTTTGGCCGTAACAGTCGGTCACGACAGCCAACAAACGGTCGTCGTTGACCATCAACGACGACCGTTTGTTGGCCGTCGTTGAGAGCAAATATGGTCAGATCTAGCGGTTGACGGCCAAAATCTTGCCGGTCATGCGCCCATAAGGTGACTTCGGCCACCTCCGGTGGTGGTGGCCGACTGGGGGTGTTTGAGGGTGGGTTAGGGGTATTTTTGTTAACTTTTAATGTTTTATTATAGGGGGTATTTTGTAAAAAAATAAATATATAGGGTATTTTATTAATTTATAAATCCTACATCGTAATACCCGCCCAATTCAACTTTTTTTTAACTTTTTTCAAAAAACTTTTCCCAAAACTCCCAAATTTTGAACCAAACGGAGCCAGTTGAATTGGGCGGGTATTACGATGTAGGATTTACAAATTATAAAATACCCCCTATGTTTGTTTTTTCTACAAAACACCCCTTATAATAAAACATTAAAAGTTAACAAAAACACCCAAAACCCAAACTCAAATACGGACAGCCGGCCACCACCGCCGGAGGGTGGCCGGAGTCGCCGTAACAAAAACATTAAAAATATTTAGGGGTATTTAATTGAATTAACAAATTTAGGGGGTTTAAAAAATGTTGAATAAAGTTGAATAATATTGTGAGTTTTTGGGTATTTTACTGTTTAACTTTTTTGGGAATACTAAAAGTAGTATTCCCAAAATCCAACCAAACGAAGCCAAGAATTTTTGGGTATTTTACTGTTTAACTTTTTTGGGAATACTAAAAGTAGTATTCCCAAAATCCAACCAAACGAAGCCAAAGTTTTTAGGTATTTTACTGTTTAACTTTTCTGAGAATACTAAAAGTAGTATTCCCGGCAACCAAAACGGAGCCGTCACTTTTAACGTAGGACCAAACTAAATATGTTACAAATAGTATAAAAAGAAAGAAGGATGGTTGCGCAAAAGCAAAACCCATTCACCCGAAGTCCGTCCATTTTCCGGCGATCCTTCATCTTCAAATTCCGGCGTTCCTTCAGCTTCTCCCACCGCCAGCCATCATCACCCAAGTTTCCCGTTGCCGGTGACCGTTCGTCTCCCCTCAACCGCGACCGTTCGACTTCCCGGCGAGATTTCGCCATTTTCCGGCGACATCTGGACACCCTAGTGGCCGATCCATGCTCCCTTAGCTCAGATTTACATTCTCCAAGCTCCGTTGACGCTAGATCTGGCCGGAATCGCCGTTCCCGCTGCCATGACTCTTCACCTTCCCGGTGTGACTTCGCTCGCTTTTCGGTGCCATTTCGTCTCCCAAGCCACATATTTGGACTCCCCGTGATCAGATCTATCTTCCACCAAGTTTTGGAGTAATTATGTCACCGGTCGCCGGCAGCTTCCAGCGTCTTTTGGTCTTCTTTGCAATGGCTGCTGCTATGCTTTCTCAGCCCAAGCCATCTCTCTCACTCGCAACTCCTCAAAAACTTCATTTTCCCACCTCATTTCCACCTTAAGGTAACTTTTTAATTTATTTTTTATTTTTTATTTTAATCTTCTTTTGTCATTTCTATTACCATATTCAGTTTGAAAGTAAAAGCGCTATGGTTTTGGGTGCTATAAATCTTGTGCATAAATCGCTGTGAGATCCTCGGTGGGGTTAAGACTTCCTTTTGTTGGGCAGATAGTCAGTCACCTTTAAGTTGTACATAGATTATGAATCTTTCCGGCCGCTTTTTAATTGAGTATGCATAATGCATATGTTAAATATGATAGCTACTTGTAATATGTATCTGAATATGTATTTGGAGAGGCCTGTTACTTTCTTTTACGTTGGATGGAGTCTTTAATTAAAAATTGTATTAATTAATTGGGTTTATCGTTTACGTTATACACAATAGACATAATGAACTTCATTAAGCTGTGAATCAACATCCTCATACGCTGCATGATAGATCCATAATTATTCCATCAAGTATATAGTTTCAATGAAGGTTGGTAAATAGGGTTGAGCAGACATTGAACAACTAAAGAATGAAGCATTTTTCTTTTCTATCAACTGGTTCCATTGAAGTTTGTCGATGATTCAAATATTAAGTGTATTTTTTGGACTCGAGCATTTGATTTATTTATTTTTTAATTTCTTTTTCATGTGACCAAGTACAAAAGAATTGGCACCGTATCTCAAGCTTTTTTGTTTACAATTTTTGTAAAGTTTGGTTGAGATCCATATCTTCATTAGGCATTATTTTATGACTTTAAATTATTTATTTAATTATACAAAGATGTTATCAAAAGATATGCGTTCAAAATACTGAGAGTGGTCTAAATCCATGTGTCAGCTACATCTTAATTAACAATTAATACGATCTTGTGTAATTATAATTAACCAGAGAGAGATTGCGTCGCCACTAAAGGAGTGGCATGGGAGCTAGAAGAATTAGCTTACTCCATCCCATTTACAGATCAAAACGATAGGGAATTTCCTTCAAATACACATTCTATGTGTCAAGGTGGTTAGTCTAAATAACTTTGATGGTTTTATATGATTAAAGAAAGGGACGAGGGGAAGTGGGATGCAAATATATTCTTTGAGAAACAAGAAAAGGGGGGATTATTGGCTTATTTGCTTTTCGGCAGAATGTTGTGGGCGAAACCATTATATAATAAGAATGTGAATAGCTTTAACTATTCTGGTCTGGTCTATCTTTATTGCCTATCTTTATTTATTTATCATTCTTTAGTTTTGTGTTCTATGATCATTGATTTCTTGGTCGCAGAGAAGTGGGGGAGATTATAATTGAGTGTAGGAAAGATTTATGTGGGATATTGAAGCACATTTTTTACATGTACACCCTGCTAGCTAGTTGGTACGTTCATCACCATTGTTGGCCTAAAAATATGAGAATAGCTTTAACTCATATAGCTCACACTGTTGGTAGTGGTATATTTTTAAGTTTGGACTTTTGCGCATAAAGCAGCTTCTATTGATCTTCAGATGGCATACTGTGAGCTGAATGAAATGAAGGGTCTTTGCAAATGCAGTACATATACTTTATTTCAGCAGTTGTAAAAGTTGTCATGGCTTTTCCAAACTAATTTCAGGTAATTTCTTTTCCATTGTCTCGTCACTTTTAGGAGTTGTTGGTATGATATGATTTAGAGATAAGTTTTGTTGATTCTGCATTCTTATTGATACTTTCATGCTTCCTAGAACATATGATTAAGAAAAATGGGAGGGAAAACTTCGATAACACTTCATTTTGAAGAAATATTGTTAAATCATTTAAACTTGTCTGGTGGAAATTTTTAGGATTGGTCATTCTGAAGTTAGAGATTTAAATATGTTCTTTTCCTCCTTGTTTTCCATTAAATATTTGGGTTGCTTTTGTTTTCATTTTTCCTTGAATTTGCAATATATGTAATGTCATCCTTGAGCATACACATGGGAATTGAAGATGATTTTGCTTTGATGGTTTTAGAGGTTGTAAAAATTGAAGACTTTTTTGGTAAAAATGGTAGCACATGGGAATTGAAGATGATATATGTGGTTTTTGTTTATAGATTTTTTGAATGATTGGAAAGTATTAACTATTGTTCATAGTTAAGTTTCCAATCATCTAGGTATTATATATGATGTAAAGAATGATGGGTGTCTTTTTGTTAGACATATATGAAGCTTTTTGTGTATGAAGGTTTATCAATGAAATGTGGTTTTAAAAATTTATCATTAGAGTTATAAAATTGTTTCAATCAAGGTTAGTGTACCATTACTTGTAATTTGTATTATAAAAGTAACAACTATACTAGTATTTATATATGCCATGGAAAATAATTTTGTAACATTTATAGCACTTTTAAAATGTTATGGAAAATAATTTTGTAACATTTAGAAAATGCAAGGAATACCTATCTCTAGCATCTTTAAAAGCTTTGGTAGCACTTTTAAAATGTTATTAAAAACTTTTCTACAGCATCTTAACAATATTACGGAAAACCTATCTACAACATTTAAAATATGCTATAGATTTGTTATCTATAACATTTTAAGGATGCTACAAAAAATTAACCTATAAGGTGTGTTTGGATTGAGGTCATATAAAATAATGGGGGTAATCTTCGTTTATTTAGAAGATTATGTTATTTGGTTTGTAAGTAATAAAATATTATAGGTATTTTTTGTTGTAATAGTGTTTACTGTTGGTAATGTAGGGGGTAATCCGTTACTCTCCCTCTGAGGTGTTATTAAAAGATTATCAGGTAATCTAAGTTTTATATCTATTTTACCCTTAATTAAATACCATTTCAGATACAATTGTCCGTAAATGCCTACTAAATAATCATTAGTCCAACTCTCTACATTTGAGAATTTAGTTAAAACACCTTAGTAAAACAAAAGTTTAAAACTTAAAAGTAAATAAAATATCCCTAGCTATCCAAGACCATCGTCGGCCACCATCGCCGTCGTTAGTTGTCGTATTGGCACACAACCTATAGGACTTGGTCGGTAAGACCGTTTCCAATCGTTTCTATAGCCGTTTCACAACCACATATTTGGTCGTGAAACAATAGATTCACAGTTGGAATGGCTTTTCTGGCGCATGACCGACCATATACGGCCAGTTGTGCACCATCCTGTCAACCATCGGTTGGCTGTCGACAATGGCTCGAGGTGGGTGGGGCTGATTTTGTTATAAATTAAAGTTTTGTATGGTTGGGATGTTTTAGCATAATTTGAAATGTAGGGTGTTAAAAAAAATGATTTTAAAAATAATAATATATTAGCATTTAAAGAGGGCAATTTTGTAATTTATATAATATACCCACCCATATAAATATAATATGCTCCTCAATTCATTCGAACTAACTAAACACATTTTCCTAAACATTCATAATAATCTTTAAGGTGATAAATCTTTTCATTAATATAACATCTTTATATAATAAAATATTATATGATCTAAACATACCCATAATAGTTTAAGAATGTTACAAAAACTAATTTATAACAAGTTTTAAGTGTTACCGAAACCTCATTTATAACACAAAATAATTAGTAATAACGTAAAAGTGTTACCAAAACCTCATTTTTTAGTGACATGGGCTGTAATAGCATACTCATTAATGTTACTGTTTACCTTTGACAATACTTTTTGCATGTTACTTTTGTTGTAATATATATATATATATATATATATAGCACATTTGTCATTACCTCCCACATTTATTAAAAATCAATTACCTCCCACATTTATTAAAAATCAACAACTATTGTGATTTTATAAACTCCCCCAGAACTATTGAGAAATACATCATTCACACCCTCGAAACCTTTGCATGTTACTTTTGTTGTAATATATATATATATATATATATATATATATATATATAACACATTTGTCATTACCTCCCACATTTATTAAAAATCAATTACCTCCCACATTTATTAAAAATCAACAACTATTGTCATTTTAATAAACTCCCCTAGAACTATTGAGAAATACATCATTCACACCCTCGAAACCTAATGTTGTCATACTTCTCCTAGATTTTATAGGAGAAAATTGTTATTTAATAGCAAGGTCACAACCTAAATTGAGGTAATCGTCACCACCTCGCAAGGCCGTGGTCCCGCTAGAGGTCGCCACCACCTTGCAAGGTTGCAACCTCTCTCGAAGGTGGGGGTTTTGTGTGGGTTGGATATGGATTAGGTTTAGGGTTAATGTTTAGGTCAATTTAGTCTACTTTCAATAAGTTTTAGGGGTTTATTGTAATTTCTTTATTAAAATAGATGACATGTTATTTAATTACAGTTTAGATGTCAATTAGACAATTCTCACTAAAGATTTAGCAGAAATCAGATGACGNGAGGCTGCCACCACCTTGCAAGGTCGCGACCTCTCTCCAAGTTGGGGGTTTCGTGTGGGTTGGATGTGGATTAGGTTTAGGGTTAATGTTTAGGTCAATTTAGTCTACTTTCAATAAGTTTTAGGGGTTTATTGTAATTTCTTTATTAAAATAGATGACATGTTATTTAATTACAGTTTAGATGTCAATTAGACAATTCTCACTAAAGATTTAGCAGAAATCAGATGACGTTAGGTATTGTTAAATTATCATCCCACTTAAAAGTTTAAGCTAGTAGATAAAGACTCAATGTTATATTAGTCCAATAGGCCCCCTCACATGAAATTAGATTTTTAATTTTTTTTTCTTTTATTTAGTTGAATGTGAGCATTTAAACTTTAGACTTTTGACTCTGATACCATATTGAGTTCCTATCTCACTTAAAAGCTTTAATTTTGTTAAGTTGTTATACCACCTAAAAGTTCAAGCTAGTAGGTGGTGACTTAACATTGTATTGGTCTAGTACGTTTAAGGGGTGTGAATGATGTATTTTGGAAAAGTTTTGGGGTAGTTTGATAGAAATGGTATTACTTGCCATTTGAGTGATAATTTTTAATAAAGTTGGGAGGTAAGTATTTTTGCCCATTCCTTATTTGTAATATTAATTAGCTTATCAATAGTTGTCCATTACAAGATTAAATCTCATTATTCAAGCACTTAATTGTAATTTGATCCAGTATTGAATGTTAAAGTAATAGCAAAAAGATGATAAATGGTTTTCATTATTTTTGAGAAGAGTAATGTTACATTGTGTAAATGTAATCATACATCAAATCATTTCTCACAAATTGATTGTGTAAATGTAATCATACATCAAATCATTTCTCACAAATTGATATGACAATATTTTTTTTTTAACATATCAAATACATTAATTTGTTTATAGAGTAATTTTTAATCAGGACATTATGATATTTATTATTTCATAACTATGCTTAATCGTTGTTAGATTAATTTTTATCAGTTAAATATCATTTCAATCCAATAAGTGAATCCAATGATATTTAAGAGTGGTCCCAATACATATATATATTTTTAATTTTTAATTATTCAAACATATTAAAACACATTAGTTTGATTTAAGTGAATTTGTATAAAAAGTTTAACTCAGTTGTTAAGTTGTCACTCCAACTATAAGGTTAAGCTTGTAAATTAGAGCTCAGCATAAGTATTTACTCCAATACTCACTAATATTATTCTTTGAAGAATGTCTCAAAAATGAAATTGGCATGAAAATGAGTAAGACTTTTATTGCATAACTTAAAATTTAAAAAAAAATGTAATTATCAATAAATCATCCAAGAAACTGTATTTGAGGGATCAAAGGGTGAAATTTGATGAATGAAATACATTTTTAAGGGATAAAATAGATATACTTTATCTAAAAATCTTAACATTTTTTGGTGAGACCAAAGTCTATGTGTTGGTATGCAATTGCCCCCATTGTTTATCCTTGATCTTGGTTCAAGGCCTCATGATGACCCCGTTATCAAGATCCAACGATGAAAATAGATATTGATAAGTAGACCCGAAAAAATAGGTATTGTACCCGAGGGTCCACTCGTACTCAGGTAATTTTTACGAGTACGGGTTAATATGTGTAAGACTTGTGTGAACAGTACCCATACCCGACCCACCCCTTTTTTTGTGGGGGGGCCAAGTGTTACCTCTGGGTACCTACAAAACAATTAAGAAAAAAAGGGGAAAAATCTAAGGCTGCGCAAACCTCTCTCATCTCATTTGATCTTTTATCTCTTGTTTATTAATGAAAGATCAGAAGCGGGAGAAGGAGGATCATTTTGGGGTGCATACGGTCGCTATAATCATAAGCCTTTACAAAACCAGCCAAAAGTAAAACCTTTATTGCGTAATTCGTAGGGCCTTCTTTTTTACATCCATAATTCATAGGGCCTTCTTTCATAGTAATATGTTGTTTGCATCCTCTTACAACCGTTGTCATTTTCATACATATATTACTAAATGATAACCTCTTTTTTAGAGATTCTTATAAATAACCTACCAATATTGACAAGATGATGTTAACGCGGAGCTTGTTTCAGCAGTATCTATGAGAAAGAAATATTGGTTCCAAGAGCTCTTAGAGTTCCTCAAGGTGCCTACACTTGTATAGGATGAACCTGTGTTTCGAGTGTTCGATGATGCAGATTCACACTATTTCTAAACCTGATCCCCCATATTTGGATATGCAGACTCACAGTCTGTGGACACGGTCCTTACACGTGTTCAAGAAATGTTGGCCATCCAAGAGCAACTATTCTGCACGATGATAGCAACCTACAAGCTCAACTTGATTCAAGATTATGCTAGCTTGATTCTAGAGTGAGTGATATACAGGATGTCATCACATTACCATAGAAGAAGCGAGAAGACGAATATATAAGTTCCAACTGGATGAAATCTATGTTTTACAATAATTAGATGATATCTTATTAACTTAGGATGATGGGATCGACGTTGAGTTTGACATACCACGTCACATACCCTTTACAACATACCATGAGGATAAAGAAAATACAGTATCCACTAATCAGGTACATATCCAATTGACGTTTGAAAAATGCCTCAGTGTTACGTGTATTTAAGACTAATGTTCTTTGTTGTTTCAGGTTATACAAGTCAACACGGGTACTACATAAGTACATATGATAACATGACTATATTGCCATCACTTCCACGGATGCGTTATAAGGAAAAGGGCCCATCATTAGAAGCCCCTTCATTGGCCCCCTAAAGCCAAGGCATAAATCTGACATGACAATTATGAGTCTTTCCGATATAGTG